TTGAGGCCGAAACATTTATTTCATTGTTAATGGATAGAAATATAAAATTCTAGCGAAGAACATCTTGCGTTGTGGTGTATGCCTTTAAATAAAACTTCCTGTTTTAATCTATAACCACTTATTAACATTGATCGTTTAGTAATTAAAAAGTTAAAAGTTAAATTTGGTTCGAACGAACAACCAAAAAGAAAAAAAGAAAAAGTTTGATTATTTTACATAATTTTTCGTATTTTTCCTTTTTCACAATTTATTTATTAAAAAATCAGATTATTTTTGTTCACAAGTAAAGATTATACAGTATAAAATTACTAAATTATGTACTCATTAGCCTCTTGCATTGTATCTAAGGATTGACTTAAAAAAAATCAAATTTAAAGTTACTAGTTACCGATAAAATGTAACTAAATTAAGTTAAAAAGTTGAGAGTCTAAAATATAACTTAACAATCCCTGAAAATTTCAGCCCAATCGGTTAAATAGTTTTTCCAAAATCGTGCCAACCAGCTCGGAAAACGTTGTTTTGAGAAAAACGCGTTTAAAGTTATTGCACGTATGATCGTTAGTATAATCATAAAAAAGTGACTTACGCTCAATCAGCGATGCCTGCTCCATACATCAGTCCTTCCTCGTCCTCGTAAGCTTCGTTTTGAGCAGCTTTTTGTATTCTAAGCTCACTTTTAAATTAAAAATTTTTAAAAACTTTTTAAAATTAAAAATTTTTATGTCACTTTTGCAAGTTTTACAAATAAGAATGTCTTGTAAAGTCAGAAACATAACGATTTTACGACATATTCTCGGTCGGTAATCGGTATATGAGTGTTCCTACACTAATTCTACACACATATAGTACACGAAAATGATGTTTTTGAAAAATCGAATTTTTTGAAAAAAAAGTCCCGTAAATCCCCCTTAAGTTAAAATTAATTAACATTTTAACTTTTTAACTTAATTTTTATCTTTTTAACTTAGCACTACCCAACCCTGCTTATTACTATCACTAGTGGCGTAGCGAGAAAAATGTTTCGGGAGGGGCTGTAGAAATCAGTTTTTTAAAATGTTCTTTTTTATATTAGTGACACATTTGGTAAGCAT